AGGCTCAGTCGAGTCTCTTTGCCAGAGGGTGCGCGCGAGCGTGCCTGATGGACATAGCCCCTGAGCCCCTGGGTGACCCTGAAGAGGTTGGTTGTGGGGTCTTCTTCGTTCAGGGATCATTGAACCCGAGGCTTAACATACATGTATGTTAGTATCTCGTCACCTGGCTGCTGCAGAACATTGGGTCTCCCTTGGTTTCTGTTGAAGTCTTGGCCCAGCTTCTTATAGAATTGCTTGGGCTGACTCTCAAGGACAGTGGCCTGCATGAGAGCAAGCGATAACATAGCATCAACTGTTCTTGGTTTATGCAAGATGATAGCCGAGCGAATGTTAGGATTGAGTCCTTGCAAAAATTTGCTAACAAAGAAAACATCATCGAGAGATTTGTTGTGAACTAACACCTTATGCATAGCATTTTGAAATCTATCATAATACTCTTACACATCAGTTGTTTGTTTAATTTGCAAAAGGTCATGCATGGCATTGTCGTATAAATCCTTGCCAAACTTGGACTCAACCGCAATGCACAATTCAGCCCAACTAATATCTGAATCAGAATGTTGTGCTTCATATGTTTGTAACCAAAGTTCAGCACTACCCTTGTGTAGGGTAGCAAACTGAGACCAGAGATGCATAGGGATGTGATACATGTTAAAGTACTTTTCAGACTTCTCACGCTAGACCTTAGGATTGGATCCATCAAACTTAGGGAACACAACTTTGGGCAACCTAATCTCCTTCTGATAATGGTAAGGCGTGTGTGTGTGTGTGATAGTACAGTGTAGAATCGCCCATGTCAATAGGGTGAGAGGGGGATCCAGTATACTGACCAATGGCCAAGGGTGGCTAGAGGACAAGCGTCCCCTTATCCAACCCCTGTGTAGTCGATTCGACGCCAAGGCCCTTGGCCCACCCCTTTTCCTCACGCTGCGGGGCCGAAGGCGGAATGGTAGGAGATTGCTCTTCCAATGCCTCGATGGGTGATGTGAGATGCTTCACGTCCTTAGAGAGCTCGGTGGAGAAGTGGTCGACCTCTAGGCACCACCGGTTGAAGGTCTCCATGAGCAGCAACATCGACTTCATTTGTGCCACGAGTGCATCAATTTTCTCCTCCGCCGTCGACATGCGGGCTGTTAGGGTTGGGGGTTTGGGTTTGCACGCCAGCGAGCGATGGGGTTGGGGTTGAGGTGGCGGCAGTGCTGGCAGCGACAGCAGTGGTGGTGGTGGTGGATTTGGCAATGGAGTAGGTGGTGGCAGAGGTGGAGGTGGGCTATTCGAAGCGATGGCGAAACAGATCGGCATGATGGGTACTCGGGTTGCAACAAGGAGAAGGTAACTGGCTCTGGTACCAAATGTGGTGACCTCAGCTAGTGGGAGAGGGATTGTCGGCGTACACGCTTGGCGATGAGCACGGTGGAGCCGCCTCGAGCAGGAACGAGCTCATGAGGAAGAGGAGAAAAGGAATTTGGTTTGTTATTTTCGCTGACCACCCATCCACCCTCTCAATGAGTACTTAGTTCACAATTCGTGGGCCAAGCCCCATTACAACCAGGTGGCCCATAGCCGAATCACTAGCCCGAATGATAAAGAAAGGTTCAAATAGAAATGACCTAGTGGCCTATTACATAGTATGTGATAGATTCCCACGGCCCCAAGCCCCCAAGAGGCCAATACCCGACCCAGGAGTCGCCCATAGCTACCGGCGACTAGAGCAAATCACTAGATCGGAGACCCAGATGCCTTGGAAGGGGATGAACCAGTGGAAACCAACGAGAGCAGGGGTATGGAGCAGTCCCTACCTATAGGGGGGCGGGGCGCAGGTGGGGACGAGGGGCTCCGGTGAGCGGCGGCGCGGGGAGGGAGGCGTGGAAGGAATGGGGAAGGAGGCGAGGAGATGCAGGGGCGTCAAATGGGCTTTGTGGCAATGACCTAGTGGGGCGCCGGTCTATGGGAGCGCACACTGACACGTGGGGTAGCCTTGCGCCGTGGCTTCCGGACGAGCCACGTGGGCCCTTGGTAAGGGATTGCTTCTAGCCCATGAGGCCCAAAATGATCGGTTGTTTTAGGCCCAAATGAATAGGTTGTTTTTTAAAAAAACTCAAATGAATAGGTTGTTTATTATTGAAAAAAAGTCCATCTAACCTCACTCAACTATTCTGAAAACCAATCAACTATTTTGAAAATCCAATTTGCCCGTCACAATGGGAAAACTAGTTTTTTAGACTTCTTCAACTTTTGAAACTGTCACATTTACCTCGCTGAGCGAATCATGTAGCACCACGTTAGCCACGAGGGACATACATTAAACTTTCACCATAGCTCAATTTGAGGGCCTCCCTACTTCAATGGCATGAATACGAATCCTTATAGAACAAGGATTTTTAGTTAGACCTATAAATTTTAGTTTAGGAGCTTGTTTAGAGGTCTTATTACTTGAGTTGCTCTTAATTAAGAAGTTGGTACCATAGTGGCTGTTGAAATGATGCCATCGAGGAGTATGCGCGATTATTGAAAAAGGAAGAGGTGTGGTAAGGGCATCTCCAAGAGTTTTCAAACCCCACTGCCAATCTTGATTTCTTTGGCAAGATTAAAAGAAAATGCTCTCCAATAACTCTCAATCTTTCCGCATTTGGGATAATGGACCATTCGCACGGAAATAAACGCTCATATCAATCATCCAATCTTGAGATGGAAGGGGGTGGGGAAGAATATAAGGAGTAAGGACAGAGTTTCGAATACAAATGTGCAAGAAACAAAGAAAGTATAAAATTGGTTGGGGTGATTTGAAAATAACCCGGAATTCCTGATGCAAAATGTCTTTTATATCTTAGGAATGAGATTTTGGAAACGGTTGGAGAAACCCGACAAATATACTCCCAATTTTTTTAAGCCACTTGAAAAATCCATTGATTTATCAATTATTTTTTAGAACTATTGGAGATGCTCGAAGGCAGAGCGTAAATGGTTGGTAAAAAAAGAATGATACAATATTATATTACTACATCACACACTTTTGAAAACATACAACATCACGCACTTATTCTTGATGCTAGGTGTGCCATTGCACAGGCTATCCAACGTACGGCACACGAGTAAGCACAAAACTATTTTGGTTGCCTCCCAACCCAACGCCACTGGACAACGACGACATCACAAGAGAAGAGCCCCTTGAGCGGTAGGACGCACAAAGGAAATAAACGGACATCACACACGAGCGAGCCCCACCAAGGCAAGGACAGACAAAAGAATCAATGCAAGGGCTGGATCGGATCGGAGTGTCCTAGGTTACTTTGAGGTTCAAAATGAACTGTTGCATGCTCCGGTAGCTGCTGCCACCCTCGACGACGGCCATAGCCGCTTCCTCGCCGGTCATCATCGCCCTTGCCCTGACCGCCGCATCGGACATGACCTCCTTTACTTTCTTCCCGATCTCCTCCGCGGTCACCAGCCAGTCCTCCCCGTCCCAGCTCTAGTGCTCCATCCACACCCTAACCCCGCCGCTCACCACTACCATGGCTTTCACGCGGTGGTCACTGCCGCGGGACCACGTCAGCAGCGGCACGCCGGCGGCGGCCGCCTCCGTCACCGAGTTCCACCCACTGTGGCTCAGGAAGAGCTCCACGGACGGGTGCTTTAGCAGGGCCTCCTGCCAGGGGCGGATATGGGCCTTGGGCCACTAGGGCCACGGCCCTAGGCACAGCCCAAAAAAATCTTTAGAGCACCAGTAGTTTTCTGGCCTGGCCCTAGGTGTTGGGCAAAATTTGGTGGACTCCTGGCTCAGCAAAGAGAGGGGAAGGAGCCAAGGAGCCAGCGCCAGCGGCCAGCCTCGCGAGCGCCGTGCCGCACCGCGCCCAATCGTGAGTTCGCCACTCCCTCTCCTGCTTCTTCTTGTTGTCGCCATGTCACGGCCAGCCCTAGGCGACTCCGCGCCTCCACCGCTCCGCTTCTCCGCTGGCCAGCGCACTGCGCCGCGCCCGTCGCCCGGCGTCTGGCAACCCGCGCCCTGCGGCCTGCACGCAGCACGCTGTGGCAGGCGGCAGCACTACTTCAGCCTCTGCTCCGTGACTGCTGGTCTGCCGCCCAGCTCCTGCCTCCTGGAAATACCAGTTTCTCTTTCCCCATTTATCCATTCTCACTTCTAAGGGTCTGATTTCTAAATTAAAGTTGAACTCTTCCAATTTTTATAGTACTCAATGAAAAGGAGCAGGACAATAAAATCCTTTTTTTACTCCGGGTCCTACGCCAATTACTTCTCAGTTATGAAATTTGTGAAGAATGAGTTGAGGAATAAGATGGGAGGTGAATGGTTAAACCATAGGATGGTTTGTTATATTGAGCGAGATGTCTTTTCAAACAAGGATGATGACATTTCATATCATTTTCAAGAATTAAAGTCTTGGGATATTTTTTAAAGTCTTTGCAAACATCAAGGACCATAATTAGCTAGGTATTTTTAACCACTATCATGTTCCATCAATTATATCATGGATTTAAAAATGAAATCGAGGTATCATTTAAACTTATGCATCTACGAGCTTTGTTTTGTTATTTATCGGTATTAATCCCGGTGCGGATGGTATTTTAGCTTGGTGCGGGCGGTATATATATGCTTTGATACTTAGTGACGGAGCTCGTCAATGATAGTGGCCCTAGGCGTCAAAATTGACGAGCTCCGCCACTGCCTCCTGCTCCACCCACGCCTTGGTCTCCAGGCCATGCTGCCCCTGCTGTAGTCGCTCCAGGAACCCCTCACCGAACACGTCTGTCAGCTCAGCGCTGTCGTCCCTGTCCACCTTTGTGGTCTTGAGCACCCAAAGGAACCGGCAGCCGCTCGCCTCCAACCTAGCGGCGATCTCCCTGATATGTGCATGGCTCACGGCGCTGCGGTTGCCAAACGCGACGTACACCACTAACCGCGCTGGTTGCTCATCGAGCCATGAGACGGTGGAGGAGTCGTCTTCCTTCTCAACCTCATCAGCAGCTGAGTTGCTGTGCTGCGACTACGATCTGAGCGGGCCGATGGCATACAACGGTGGGAACCCGAGGATGACCTTGCCGTCTCTCAGGGCAGCGAGCGCCGCTGGCTCCAAGGCGTCGAACGTGTTGACCAGAAAGCCGTTGGTGCTGATGATCTCGCAGTTGTTGTCGATGAACTTCTTGGTCAAGAGCTTGTTGAGGTGGAGCAGTGGCTGTGGGAGACAAGACTGCGGGATGCAACGCACGTCGGGGATGTCGACGTCACCGACGCCACCAGCGCTAGGCCCCTGCTCGTGCTGCTCGACCTTCTTCTTCTTCTTGTCGAGGTGTAGAGGGGTGTAGGCATTGAGCGACAGCATGGTGGTGCAGGAGATGAAGAGGATGTGGCAATGGACGCCGAGCTCCTTGGCAATAGGGATGACGTGGGAGGTCAGGGTCATGTCTGTAATGACGGCCAACTCGCGCGGGGTGGCATCACCGATGAGCGGGCCGAGGAGGTGCGCCGAGTGGTGTAGGGCCTCCCATCAAACAAAGAACTGTTAAAATTACAGGATCATTAGATGTAGATCTAGGGGTGCTGACTTGACTAGAATAGTATAAACATTCCCTAGAACATGGACTACGAGATCCAAGAGGGATAGGGCTTTACTTAGGTGGAGTAGGTTCATCTTTCACAACTTCTTCAGGTTCTTCATCTTCTTTCCATTTATTCTTTGGAGGTTGATTCTTTCGACGTTGGGATGAGAGACGTCTCCTCCTAGAGCGGGTCTTCTTGGGCTGTTCATAAGTAGTATAACTATTGAAATAACAGTGTACCTTTTCTCCAGGGAATTGGAAGTGGACTTGTCCAGATCTGACATAGATGATTGTTTTGGTTGTGTTGAGGAACGGTCTTCCCAATATAATAGGTGTATCATCTTCTTCTTCACCCATGTCTAGAACCATGAAGTTGGCAGGAGCAAACTGATCATGTATTCTTACCATGATATCTTTTGCTATTCCTTCTAGAAATCGGATTGATTGGTCCACCATCTTCAATTGCATATATGTAGGGAACAAAGGTTCATTACCGAATAAGTATTCATATGTAACCTTGGACATTATATTAACACCTGTCCTAATATCGCAGATGGTCTTGTGAAAAATTCTTTGTCCAGTGGTACACTCGATCGTGGGTACGCCTGGATCATCCTTCTTAGCAAGGAATGGTGAAGCGAGAAGGTGGTCGTACTCTAATCGAAGTGTGTTGATCATGTTAACTGATTCTTCTTGAGGTTGTCTGGCCTTGTTCTTCCTCCTTCAACTGTTCTTCTTCTTCTTGGTCACTATTGTTTCTTCGGGTAGGTACGGCGTCTATGGATGTCCAGGAGATTGCAGGATGCGGTTCTTGAAAGAAAACTTCTCCTTCCTATCCTTGATTATGAAGCAGATCTTGGCACTGTCCAAGTAGATGATGGCTTTTGCGGTGCTTAGGAAAGGTTGGCCCAAAATAATGGGTGCCCTTACATTTCCACCTGTTTTCAAAACCACAAAGTCTACGAAAATACATGATTGTCCCACTTGAACAATGTCATCTTTAAGAACTCCCTTGGGGTAATAGAGTGACTGATCTACAAGCTGCAATAGCATATTTGTATACAACAAAGTATCTCCATTAATTAGATCATAAATTACCTTAGGCATGATGTTGATACTTGCTCTGAAGTCACAGACAGCTTCTTAAAAAATGTGAGGTCCAATGGCGATGGGAATGATAGGTCTCCCTGGATCGCTCTTTTTTCTAGCAAGGAATAGTCTATCCACCTTCCCGTCGATGGTTGTATATAATAATATACTGTGTTGTGAATATCGACAAGATTTGTAGTTTCTAGATCTTCCGGTTGCCTCGGAATCTTACCTTTATCAGATGGAGGAACAGAAGCTGTCAGCTGAGCTATTTGTGATTCTATCATTTTATTAAGGCTATGCTGGTTCTTAATGGCAGAAGCAAAGCTATCTATTCTTTTATTTATGTTCTCTAGAATTTTATCATTGTTAGCTACCTTTCTAGATAATCCCTCCATAAGTTTAGATGGGCCAGCAATTAATTCTCTCAAGGGTGATTGATTGAACTTATTAAAATTATTACCTTGATAGTTAACTTGGTAATTACCTTGGTAGTTCGGTCTCTGGTGCTGGTTCCATCCTTGATTCTATTGAGGACGAAAGTAGTTGCTGTTGTTGACAAAGTTCACATCCTCTTGGGTTTTAGGACAGTTGTTCCCTAAATGCCTAGTATTTCGACACTCTTCACATGTCATGCGAGAATCTTGAATGTGCATGACTTCTTGCTTCTCATTGGCTCGGTCTTCAAGCTTCTTCATCAGCAGGTCCATCTTGGCAGATAGCATGTCTACCTCCTTTAGTTGATGCATACCTCCATCTCTCTTGCGGGTCTGAAGACGTTCTTCATTCCAACCTTGGTTGGAGGCTATCTTCTCTACAAGAGCTGTTGCAACTGGTTTGGTGAGTGATAGGAATGCACCTCCAGCAGTAACATCCATAGTCTCATGGGGTACTGTTGGTCAACCCATGGTAGAAAGTCTGCATGAGTAGCCAATTCTTCATCTCATGATGAGGACATTCTGCAATGTAATCTTGAAAGCGCTCCCATGCCTCAAGGACAGATTCATCATGTTGTTGTTGAAAGTTTGAAATTCTCCCACGCAGAGCATTGGTCTTACCTGTGGGAAAGAACTTTGCTAGGAAGATAGTGGAGCAGTTATCTCATGTAGTATTTCTATCTTTGTTGGCATAGAACCATTGCTTTGCCTTCCCCAAGAGTGAGAATGGGTTACTCCTTTGTTGGTGAAAGTGCTACAGATCTCCAGGAAGTGTTGGAGATGTGCACCCGCATCTTCATGTGCCTTTCCACAAAACTGGCTTGCTTGCACCATGTTGATGAGGGCTGGCTTGAGCTCGAATCCATTGTCTCCAACATTGACTATTGGTCCAGTACGGATGTTGGCCGTAGTTGGAGCAGAGAATTCACGGAGAGTCCTGTTAGCCATAGCTTCAAATCCAGGTGTTAAGATTCGCCTTATCTGGTTGTCTTTTGACTCTAAAGCTAAAACTTTCTTGAGTTTAGCCTTAGTCCTCCTAATTAATGCTTCTGGATCTTCAACGTAGTTTATCGAAAGGTCAAAATCGATCGTACATTACCCTGCATAAGATACACAAGTAGACAAAACAAGGGTAAGCCTGTTTGAGCAGAGGTCAATGGTTATCTTTGATCACATCAATAAGTATAAGTTTATCAATACTTCCTTTGCCTAGCTACCTTCCCCGGCAATGACGCCATAAATGCTTGTTGGTATTTATTAACTTGTTACTTGTTTAGTAGCCACCTATTATAAACATATATATCCAAACATTACTTTACTAGGTTGTCATCTCTAGTGATGATGCCAGAGATGCTTGTTGGTACGACATAGCATTACTACTAGAATAATACTAAGTAATTCTTTATTAATTTATGTGACTAGGAAGAATATATAAATATATGAATGAAAAGGATCTGCAAGCGCACAGATAATTATACCATTGTAGCACTTCATCCGGAAGTATTCCAGGTATTGTTATTTATATTTTTATCACAGGGAAGGTCTAGTATGGACATGTATTGATAACTTATACTATTGATGGAGAAGTAAACCATAACCAATATTCTACTCATAACAGGGGTAAGTCATAGGATAAGATATATATATATATATATATATATGATAAGTATTGATCATCAATAATGATAAATCACTCAAAGTACTCCTTTCTATAGCATTAGCATGGTCAGATAGAATATTAGAGGAATAATTCCTAAGTCATTCTTAATTACAAGTCAAAGAATACATTGATTAGTGCAATTACACCTAGTAGTCATGGCTAAGGTTATCTTTATATCTACACATAAGGGATATTACTAAGGAAGATTAAGAACATAGCTTGTTCTTCCTTTGTAACCGGATCTTACTTGCACCTATATTCGGGGAGTGGACTACAAAGGACTCAACGGGAGTGTCACATCTGTGATCTACCACATGACCTAGAATATAGGGTGTATACATAGGTAAACAATGTATAAGCACCACGCTTACACAATGTCGATAGCCCACCCCGTGTACTTTAGAGTGAGCGCTATATGAACTTATGCATAAACATAATGATAAACTAGCTATACTAAGTATATAATCAAAGTAGATGTTGAACATTATAATGAAGAACATGAATAAGATGAATACTAATATTGTCATAACAATTGTAACTAGCATATAAAAATAATGGAGGTACAAAAGAGAGGGCTACAAAGATTATACCAAACCACACTCTTGACACGATCGGGAATCCAAGCGAAGCCTACTTGCCTTCCTCTAGACCTAGCCTAACTAGCTATGCCCTAGAATATGGTGGAGCTCTGAGGATGATTAGGGTTTCTGTCTTCTAAAATGACTTGATGACTAGGGTTATGCTTGGGGCTGGTAGGGGCTGGTATATATAGGCCGGAGCGTCCAACGTGAGCCCTTGGATCAAACCGACTTAAAGGACGGCGTAGATGCAACCTAGGAGGGTGTGGAGAACTGACATAACAATGGGGGCCAGATAGGTGGGCCCCAGGGGCCGGCTAGCCGACAGGTGGTGTTGTCCCCACCTAGCGATGTCTCGCCCTCCGCTTCGGTGTGGAGTCCTCTTGAGTCTTCTAGAACCTTCTGGTGTCTGTTTCGCTGCGGATAAGCGCGATTAAATCTGACATGTAGGTCCACCTTGATGATTTTCTAGATAAACCCTGTAGAAAATACAGATTCATTGAAACTTATGGAATTTGTTAGTTTAAACCCCTAGACCTTCGTTGGTGATTATATTTATGCCCTTATGTATGTTATATTGACGGTTTATAATGTTTGTTAACTATCGTCAACACCGGTGCGTGCCTCCCATCATTGTTGTAACATCCCGAGTTTTTGTGCAACCAAAAATACGAGCTTTTTAAATTTTTTCTAGCAATGTGTGAAGCATATAGTCGCTAGGTCAAACCGAGGAGAGATGACTAATAAATTAGTGCACTCATATAGATATGATGTTAGGAGAGTGCCCGTGTTCTTGAGTTGGTGTTGAGTTGAGCCTTGTTTGAGTTTGGAGTGCACAAATCCATAGCAAAGTTCCTCCCAATCTCTTTTGAATCGATCTCAAATTCATAACGAACTCATCTCAAATCCCTTCTGAATCTATCTGAATTCCTTAAGTCATAATTGGTAAAAGGAAAATCCTTTCCTTTTTTCCTTTTCTCAAGCAGCCCACCATCCCCTTTTCCCTTTTCTTTCTCATCTAGCCCAGCTAACCCTCTCCACCGCTGCACCAGCCCACCTCGCGTTGGCCCAACTGCCCCCTTGACCCACCTCCCTTTCCT